GCCCCCCACCGGACACCAGAGCCCCCCACCGGACACCAGAGCCCCCCACCGGACACCAGAGCCCACCACCGGACACACAGCGGCATGCTGGTAGTCAGAAGCCGACACGCCCACGGCACAACATATCAGCTAGCTTCATCTCCTAGAATAGATTCTCTAACTTTGAAACCAAAAGAAGAGTTATTTGATGTACTGATGGAGAAGAGACGCCCAATGAGAGAGTTTAAATGTTTTAACACATTTATCTTTTTGTCATGACGCTGCGTCACCACAGAGCGATGCAGGAACGAGTCCTAAAACATGGAAGTGAGTCAGCTTTTTGCATTTCCAATTCCCTCCAAGTGTCAAAGTCAATGGGCTTTTTGATTATTTTTTTTTTTTGGATAGATGCTTGAAATAAGCTCTAGTGCTGACGAGTGGTTTTGACAGTCGACTGTCCCGTGAAACTCTGACTAGAAACACATTGTGATGTGTAAAACCGGAGGAGTTCCTCTGATCAATATGTGGATTTTGGCCCATTATTTTGTCAAACGCTGGTGTGACCGGACACCAACTTCATTGAATCCATATCGACTCCAGCTCCCGTCGCCTGTGACACCAGTGGATCCTCAAAACAATCCTTAAAACCTTGGATCTAAAGCCGGCTGATGAGTGATGTGCTGACAAGCAGTAGGGTGGAGGTGGAGGTGGTGGGGAGGGATTGATGGTGGTTCCCTACCTGGTCCGCAAGCTTTCCCAGCCTGTGAGGCTACAGCAGCAGAGAGGGGTGGTGGAGGAGGAGGAGGAGGAGGAGGAGGAAGGGCGGAGACACAACCAAGTATGAGATATGTGGGCGGGGTTATGATTCAAACAAGGAAGGAGGACGGGAAGGAAGAACAAAACGTCAAAATGGAAAACTCAAAAGAAACAAAACAAGCAGTCAGCACTGAAACAATCGTTCAGCCAAATGTTAGTTTAGTCATTCAAAGCTGCTAGTTATTAATATCACAGAGCACTCGTTCACTACACGAACATCAGTGGTGTCGCTGTAACATCAGTGCACACTGACTCCGTGCAGTTGGAGGTTCATTAAGAGGACATTGTAATGGGAAACATATTTATAAAGGTTGCATTTCCATCATATCTTAACATTAATATCTGTAAAATGCTCAGCAATGTTTTATTTATATAATAACTGAACTATCCAGAGCAGATCACAAGAGATCCTTTTATTATCCGCTCCAGTGTTTCTCTTTTTAACTTTTACACATGAACCTGATTTGATCCACTTAAGGTTGTAAGTCATAGCCGAGATGTAAAAGAGATGATCAGCTTGAAATGGAAGGATGACGCTGAACCATGAGAGACAAACAGAGAAACAACTGAACGTCTCAAGAAGCTTTGTGTGGATGAAGGAGAAGAGAATGACTTCATTACCTCGAACTCGTCTCTCTGTAAACTCGTAATCTAGTTACCCTCAAACTGCTAATAAAGAGCTCAGCTTCAGCTTAACTTGTTCTACAAACCAACAAGAAGCAGCTGTGGCCAACGTCAGCTGAACAAAATGCATCATGTTAATATTGATTCCAGCCACGAGAAATGTCCCGAGTCTGTGGAAGCGGACAAATCCGGGAGCGAAGAGGAGAAAAGTCCGACTGACCTGCAGGCAGATCGCCAGGTTGACCCGGCAGCCGAAGGAGGTGCTGACGGCTCGAGGGTGGAGCCCCAGGTCCTTGAAGAGTTTGGAGAAGGACTGCGTCAGGGCTGTCCGGGGACGCTCCTCCGCTACCACCACGCAGGTCCTCACGCGAGACAAGTCCAACCCTCGAGACTGAAGGGGGACGAGGAGGACGCAGAAGGAGAAGCTTGTAAATTCATGAAATGTCAAGAGGCGCACGACACACAACATTCTTGACGAGACCATTTCTACCTTCAGGGAGTCGGTCTGCAGGCCGAGGCCCTTGGTGCAGAGCTCCATGACGCTGTAGGAGCAGAACGTGTCGCGGACTTTGTACTGACTGACGGCCGACAGCCAGAGAGCCGGGTTCACCTCCAGCTCGGACGGAGGGATCAGGATGGACTGGTGACCTGAGTACACACTGCAGAGAAACAAGACGGGAGGAGGGCGGAGCGAGGAGGGATTATGTTGTGGTACTGATGGAAACTATTCTGCAGAAATGTGGGCATGTTTCATTTAAAACATCCTCTTTCATCTGCCTTTTCCCCGTCTACACATCAGTATCTAAAGCTACTACATGGTACTTTAACTTTGTGTTGATTCTGTTGCTCCCTGTGGACTAAAGCTCTAGTGTCTCTGAGCACCAGACTCCCTTTAGGAAACCTCTCATTATACTGCAGCAGGGTCTGACCCTCTCAGTCCTGGTTCTGGTTCTCCCGTGCCTCCCTTCCCTCCAGCGGGTCCAGCAAAACGTCCTGGGTCTCCAGCAGCGTGGTGTCAGTGTTGACTCCCAGAGAGGAGAAGCTCTGCTCCTGGAGGAGGAGGAGGAGACGCTGCTGCTGCTGCCGGGAGCTGAGCTCTCCTCCTCCCGCCGGAGCTCCGACTGCAGGTCCAAGGCTGCAGGTGGAGCCGGATCTGGGTCTGTCCATGGTGGACCGGTCTCTGCTGGAGGATCTGGGTCTGCCTACAGTGGACCGACCTCTGCTGGAGGATCTGGATCTGTCCACGGTGGACCGGTCTCTGCTGGAGGATGTGGGTCTGTCCACGGTGGACCGGTCTCTGCTGGAGGATCTGGGTCTGTCCACAGTGGACTGGTTTCTGCTGGATTCTGAGTTGAAGGAGTTTCTTCCGGTGGCTCCGATGACGAGCATTAAGAATAACTCTATAGAAACAGACCATCTTCTCTCTGATGGTCTATTTACTGATGGAGGTCTGATAGAGGATCAGGACTACACTGAGACTGGTTCATATAGACTCTTCTTTGTCTGACCTGCAAAGGCACCAGAGGACGAAGCCCAGGCCGCAGTACGGGTCCAGGCAGATGGCGACCTCTCTGGACGGGTAAAGCTCGCACTGCAGCTTGATGGAGCGGCAGAAGGCACTGGTGGCTGCGTGAGACATCTGAACAGAAGAGACGGACACATGACACCCAGAAGACGTAGGGATACTCTCATTGGCCCGTGTACTTTTTAATCTTCTCTTCCTTTTTATTTTAAAAAGCAGAAATGAGAAACAAAATGTTTAAATGATTTTATAATCCAAGGATAAATCACAAATCCAACATAAAATGCAAATAAAAGAAGTATTTTTCTAAACCAGCTATGTGGCACTTTTTTTTTTGCACGTAAAGTGAACAGCTGTTTGTTCACCTTGACTCCAGCGAGCATGCCGGTGGTGGAGACACTGAAGTCCAGGTAGGCCAGGGTGTCGGGGTTAGAGGGTTTATGCAGCAGAGGAGGTTTCTTCTTTGGCAAATCGTCTAAAAACAAGATCAACTCGGTCACATCAGTGCTTTTTCAACATACAGTATATGTACAGTACACAGACATTTCCATTCTTTTGGGAGTATTACAGATGTTTGTCTTTATATTCTGCGTTTTTTGGCATTTCTGTACTGACCTATCAAATGACATGAGCCTCATCAGTTTAATCAGTTTGAGGTTCTGTAGCCGATGCTTCATGTGTTAAAGCTGCATTCTCTCTAGTGTCCACCAGGGGGCGACTCCTCTGGTTGTATAGAAGTCTATGAGAAAATGACTCTACTTCTCTCTTGATTTATTACCTCAGTAAACATTGTAAACATGAGTTTATGGTCTCAATCTCTAGTTTCAAGTCTTCTTCAATACAGCATGATGTTCATTTAGTACATTATGGTCCATTTAGAGTCAAACAGACCATAAAGCAGGGAATGCTTTAGGGCGGGGCTAATGTGATTGACAGGTCGTTGTTCAGTTTTCGGTTGCACTTAAAGACACTTCTAGAAGTCTGCTGTTCATTTCTATCTGGTAAGTACATTTGTTCTAGCATGTTTTTTTTGCTTGAAAAAAAATGAATCCCAATTAATATCACAGTAAACGTGAATCACGGATGCTCCTTGCTAACTAAGTTAGCGCTACGTTAGCTGGTAACTTAGAGGGCCTCGCTCCTCCCAAGCTCCACCCCCTTTGTCCAAACATGGTTTCCAGAAACAGTTAACACCAATGTTTTACTGTCTTTATTGTTAGTGCGTGCGTGCGTGCGTGCGTGCGTGCGTGCGTGCGTGCGTGCGTGCGTGCGTGCGTACCTGTGTCCAGGACGGGGGGCCAGGTCCGGACGTCCACGGCGGCCGACGCCTCCTTCGACTTCAGCAGTTTAAAGATGAGCTGCGTGGTCATCACGCACACCGACCGGCTCACCTGCACGACGCAGTACAGACAACTCAGACGTCTGGTAGAGGAACCAACGAAAGCAGCGCCGCATCACATTCCGTCACGCGTTACCCGACCGTGTGGGAGAGCACGCTTCACTTGAAACAGGTTGATAGCGAGGTACCTGCAGCTCTGATTCACTCGCTGATCTGTGGGGCTAGTTCTCCACAAGCTGTCGTTTGTTCTCGTCATCCTTCTCTGGTTTTCTGTCTTTCTATTTTAAACATTAGTGAGCTCGATCTGTTTTATGACTTCATGCCTTTAAGGCTGATTTTATTTAAGAAGCTCAATCTTCTCATGCTTTGAGATAATTGGTGAAATGTGTCCCAAATATCCATCATTTAGGACTTAAATGTGTCTTAAATGCATCAACAGAGAATGATCATGTAGGTGTCACCTAACACAGCATCCTTGTTGTTTTGATTTATTGACCAGAATGTCTGTGAGATGGTGTCTCATTAGTTTCTGAATATTCACAATATTGTGTAAATCTCTCATATTGTTACTGCTGCAGCATGAGACAGCGCGCTCTTTGTTCGTCATCAATCATCCGGCAGGCTAAAGCAGCAGAGCGTCAGGTTTTACCTCCACGATCATCTTGACGGTGGGCAGCGTGGTGGCGATGTTCTGCGGGTGAGGCGGTCGCACCGTGATCGGCACGCAGCCGGCGTAAAGGCAGCCGTAAAACGCCACGATGAGGTCAATACCTAGAAGAGGGGGAGGAGGGAGGGAGGAGGAGGGAGGAATGGAAATGTAGAGGACGTGGAGGAAAAGAGGAGGAAGTGGAAATGTGAGGTGAGATGGGGGAGAGTAGGAAGGGAAAGTGCACAAGAAAGTGGAAGAAGGAAGAAGGAGGGGAGATAAGGGAAGGAGGGATGTCAGAATGGGAAAATGAGGAGAAGGTGGAGAAGAAATGGTCACACAGTCCCAGAGGCCCGGAGGTTCAGTATTGAGCTGTGAGCTCTGGAGGCGATTCACACAACCCGACAAAGACAAACACTGAAACCAGCATGAGAAACATGGGGTTGTGTGTTTACCTGGAGGGTAGACCAGCGCCACGTGGTCTCCGTCCTGCAGGTGGGCCCGTTCAGCCAGCATGCCGGCGATCTTCTCTGCCCTCTTATGCAGCTGAACACAAGTCAGAGAGCTGGCTATCGTAGCCTGGAGACACACACACACACACACACGCACACGCACACGCACACACACACACACACACACACACACAGTGAGCCTCACTGTTCCTTCACCATCACACTGTAGTTTATTGACAGTTTTTTTTCAACAAAACTGGTTTTGGCCTGAACCTCTCATTGAAGGTGTTGTATGCCTTTTATATTGTGTGTGTGTGTGTGTGTGTGTGTGTGTATGAAGGCTCACCCTGGAGTTGAGCAGTGTGTACAGGACGTGGTCCGGAGTGGTCTGGGCTCTCCACTGTAACACCTCCGACAGGAAGAGGAACTAAAAAAACACAAACAAATACAGGAACAGTGAGACCGAGTGACAACACACGCGCACGCACACGCACGCACACAATACTTCTACTGCTTAATTTTTCACTGAAATATAGAGAAAGTCCGTCACCTCTATGGAAACAGAACAATCAGGGCTCACAGTAGAGAGAACTCAAACATATAATGTGTGCAGAAAAACAGTTATAATGACATGAATCAGAAAACTCAAAAAATGCAAGTTGACATTCTTTGATTATCTATTTTGGAATCTAAATATCCAACATTTTTCCAAGTGTTACCAGTAATGGAAAATAAACGAGGCGCCACGTGATCTATTCATTGAACTATTTACATGTTGACAGCCTCTCCTCTGATCTGTGTAAACTATTTTGTTGTCACATGACTGTCGGTCTCAGATGAATCAATCATGGCTTCATAGTTGCGCTGAAAAGCTCAGAAGTTAATGCTTTTTACAGAATCTGGTTAAAGCAAAAAGTTTATTCGTGGCGATATTTTAAATGTAGAATAAAAATGTTTTTGATAAAATTTCCCAATTTTAAGCTCGTGAGATTTGGCACGAACACGATGTGATCAAGGATTTTCATCTATATGATAATGTCCGTTTTTACAGCTTCACGCTCTACACGTGTTAAATACATGAGATGGAGCGCGTGCGTGCGTGCGTGCGTGCGTGCGTGTACCGCTGGAGCTCGGCTGAGTAACTAAAGTAAAGTAACGCGTAATGCAGAAATGAAATTACTTTTTAAATGAGTTATACGTAGTTTGAAGTTGCCCGATACGGTGTTGCATTTACTGCTGTACAGCTGACTCCACCTGAGCATGATGTCTCATGTCGGGCCTTAATAACCAAAGAAAAGCCGTTTAGGAGCTTTATTGAGACCCAAACAGAGAACACTGATGAAGTATACTCATAACATGCAGCTCGGTGACAGTGCGGTCTGTTAGGGGGGTGCACTTAATTGGAAAGGAGAGAGTGAGAGAAGTGATATGAATGGAAGGAGGAGAGCAGAGTGAGGTAATAAGCAGCCAAGAAGAGATAGATGGGAGTTGGAGATTGGGGAAGAGAGAACAATAGAGAGAGAGAGAGTTAGTTTCTGGCCTCATGAATATTTCAAGATTTGCTGCCGAGTGGTGAATCGCAGCGAGCGTAACATTGTGTTACATTTCTGTTCTGCCCGAGAGAGTCGGTATTGTGTGTGTGTGTGTGTGTGTGTGTGTGTGTGTGCGTGATGAGGATTCAGCTGTCGAGAGTCTTAACCCGGCCGACCGCAAAGCAATCGGACCTCCGCTCCGCACCGCACCGCGTCCGACACGTCTGGGAGGAACTCTGGGCGCGCTTGATTTGTACTGCAAATTTCGACGACTGTTGAAAAATGAATTTTTAATGCCGGAGGAGCTCAAACGTGAACCGTTGCTCCTGCAGCCGAGGGTTGAAATAAACAAGTCTGATTCTTTTCATGTGTCACATTCGTGCAGTCGCAGAACAAACAACTTGTGAAACTGATGGTTGAGATCAGATTTGATTCTTTTACATCGACAGTTAGTTTCACTCACATTCAACCACTAAGTATTCAGATTATACTAACTGATCTTTTTCAAGCTGTAAGTTTAGGATCTTTATTGTTACATATTCAAAAAACTCAAAATATTTTGTCCCCAACAAACCAGTTCATGTGATGCTTTTAATGTTCTGTAACTGCAGCATGAAAGCGTGTGAAACTAGCACGATAGCTCGCCAACTTAATGCTTCATCAGCACACTCTTGTCACAGTGAAGGAGACAGGCGACAACCTGCAGTTCTGCCGAATGAAGTGTCTTAAAGCTGCATTCTCTCTAATGACCACCAGGGGGCGACTCCTCGCCACTCCTCCGCATTTCAAATATGTTAACTTCTGTTCATCGGTTTCGAAAACAACAACATGGCGAGGGCCGTAATCCAAGATGGCAACGGAAAAATCGACAAACTCAAGGCTTCAAAACGTTCAGTCCACAAACCGACGAGTGACGTCACGATGACCACGTCCTCTTCTTATATAGTCTATGGTTGGAAAACGCTATGACCAGATAATCAGTCAGTTTTGTTATGTTCTTAATTTGAAGACCACAGAAAAGAGAGAACAGGCTGGTTGTGCTGTGGTTGTGATGCGACACGTGTCACAAAGACCAGCGCCTCAGTTACTGAACCCTTTAAGCGGTGTACACAACCTCCAGTGCTGCTGAAAGCATCACTCAGCTCCTCATCAGTTCAGCAGACTCACCAGCTCCACGCATCACAAATCTCTCGGTTGGTTAAAAGATTTAAAGATGTTTTTCTTTCTCTCCCCCCCGATGCAAACATCACTCAGCTGCTTCCTTTTCCAGTTTTCCTGCCTCGTACATTAACGTCTACCGTTTGGTGGAGGCGTTGATCCAAACTGCCTTAAAGCTTCTCGACTGCACACACAAGAGAGGATCAAACCCTTTATCTACTCATTGAGTCACACATCTCCCGATTGTGCAACATGTAAATCTTCCTGATGAACAATCATTCAAAAGCTTCCACTGAACCAGAAGCTCAACAAAACACTTCAATAAGAGGCTTCTTTATGGAATGTTATATTTAAATTTAGGCATAAAGGAAACGGAAGTCTCAAATATAAAATCAGTCACTGGTCATCAGCCAGGTTTTGGTGCCACATGATTCATGAGTCTTCAGTGTTTAGTGAGACGATGGAGGTAGAGCTGGCTGAGATAACAACAAGTCCTGATCATTTAAAATGATTACTTCATGACTTTATTAAGCGAGTGTTTGTGTTTCAGACCGATTGTTTTTAACCACAAAGAGGATAAAAGCTGGTGTGTGTAGTGTGTGAGAGCAGCTGTGACGCCGGGTTACACTGAAGGCAGAACAAACTGGAATGCAGATGAAAGCCACGTTATCTCTATGAGGGAGCACCGGCATGCTAAACGCCTTCACAGAGAGCCTGTCTGGGACACCTTTATCAGTTTGTGAGCGCTGGTGTCGAATTCTCCCGTTAATACACTGAAGCCTGCAGCTCGGTTAGTATCTGATGAGAACATCAGATGCTCAGAGAAACCCAACACGTGGACCAGCTGGTGACACCAGCACTTTATGTCGCTTACATTTACATAAAGAACGAGGTTTAAGGAAAATAGGGTCCAGGTTGAAAAATACAAAAGTTCCTCTTTAAACATCTGCTGCTGAGGTACTCTTGAGCAAAGACATATCAAACCCATGACTGCAGAGGCTCAGCTGGTCCCAGTGTGAGGGTTCAATCTAGAGAGCTGCTCCAGATAGATCACATGTCACTCTGTAAGATCACACTGATGCACACAACACGTCAATAAACAGGAACACAAGAAGAGGAGGAGGAGCTCATTCACACAGAGGGCTCTGGTTTCAGAGAGATGTTCCACATGCAGTGATTGATGAACAAACAGCTCAATGATGAGGAGAAGCAGCAGCAGGAGCCTGAAGCTCAGTAAAGAGTTCATCCTCTCAACCTCATTAACATTAAACTAGAATCCACAATCACAAACTCATTCTGGAGGAAACTGACTCCGCCGCTCCGTCTGCTGAGGAAAGCTGCCAAAGTCGATTAAAGTGTGTTCAAACAAAGGAGGAGTAATCGTGTGGCTCTGGTCTGAGCTCATCACGAGCAGCATCGTCCTCCTGTTCGGACTTGTAATTATGGCATCAAGCCTCCGGACTATTAGTTTCATTTTGCAAAATGGCCGAGCTGATTGAGATGCAGCACGACCTCCGAACCAGCGATACTCCGATACTGAGGCTTCACAACAGGAACCGTCTGCTGGAGACGGTCAACGGTGCTGCTGCTACTGTGCACTCATAACAACGTCGTAGTTAAACTGGTAGTTTGGATGTTTTGAACCTGTGGACAGAACCAGGCTAGCTGTTTCCAGTCTTTGTGCTAAGCTAAGCTATGCTAAGCTAACAGGCTTTCCCAAAAGTATTGAACAATTCCTTTAACTGTCAAATGAGAATCCTTCATAAAACAGACATGTTGAGTCAGAAATGTTGGCTCGGTCCAACGGCGTCTTTGTCAGGGAGACAGACGTGGGAACCGGAGGAGGCGTGGGGAGTTCAGTTGAAAGCACCAGAAAACAAAGTTTCCCAACATCTGTTCGGTAACATCCAACTACACACGAGCAGACTCAAGCGCGCTGCGAGAGACAGGCTGCTCTGGCTTCCCAGTGTGCTGCGGTGGAGGCGGTGGTGGTTGTTATTATTTGGGGCCTGTCTCTTCTTATTAGAGTCTACATGGTGTGTGCCGACGCCGCCGCCGGCTGCCCGGCGCTGTGATGACATGTTCAGTACGAGAGAAGAGAAGAAAATCAGTTCTGTCAGTAACACACACACCGCCTGCTTCTCTCCATCACTCCGCTGGTCTCGCTTTCTGCTGTTTCTACTTAAATTATGCTTTGTTGTTTTCTCTCTATTTCATATTATCTCTCTCTCTCTCTCTCTCTCTCCTTCTCTCTCTCTCTCCTTCACTGACTTTCCTCTCCGTCTCACTCACTTTTGTTGGCACAAATTCAACATGGAGAGTGCTGCCAAAGCATCTATCGTTCGCTGCCATCACCTCCTGGCATCGGGCTTTCCTAATGACTGCTTTTTAAAAGCTGCATAAATTGGTAATTCAGAGCATTTTGATCTCCTCAAAGGCTCTCAACATGGCGACGGTTGAGCCGGCGGCTTGTAGCTAACAGTGCAAACAATGGCAGCGGTGCTGACAGAGCTAACAGTGTTCACCTGAGGGGGAACTGGACAGCGGTTGCTTTGTTTAGAACCTCAAACTTAAAGAAGAACTTAAAGAAGAACTTAAAGAAGAATGACACTTTTGCGTCTTGAATCTAAAGCATTTGTACAAGTCCTTTAAACGAAACCTTTAAAATGAACATTCAGCTTGATTTTCCAGAAGAAAGGTGATGAATCAAAGCAACACTTAAAGAGTTAACGTTTTCTGTTATGATTCGATGAATGTTATAATAAATGAATATGTGGAAACAGCATAAAGGCCGAGTAATTGAGTGTAACTGGGAGCGGACCATGAAGGCCTCATGTGTATATGTGTGTTTGATGATGATGATGATGATGATGATTGTGGTGATGAAACCAGCAGCCCCCCTCTCACACACACCTTCCTTGCCTGGTCATTGTCTTCTATCTGAACCAGATCCCTGCCGCTGGCCTGAGCGATCCTCTTCCCCGACACCAGATTCCCCACCATCACAGACGCAGGACCGATCTCTGAGGAAGAGGGGAAGAAGAAGAGGACAGGTGAAGGAGTGCGTGCGGTTAGAAGAGACAGCGTCTCCAGATATATATACCTTCACACATCCCTTCACACTGTACCTGGTTGTTTCTGCCGGGGTTTGGGCAGGTTGGTGACGCAGGTGTGCGGACACATGAGCACGTTGCAGGGGTGCAGCGCCCCCTCCAGGAACAGCTGCTTGGTCTCTGACAGGTGGATGCCACCCAGGGGAGTCTTGGGCAGAGTGTTGGAGGGCACCAGAGCCAGGCAGTACACCCCCACCTGATGGATACCGTCTATCGCCTGGAAAGCGGATATACGGGTTTACTTTTAAGGACAGAATGAAACGGCACCTTTACTTCTTCAATCTGATTCTCCTCGGGTTCTGCCAACGGAAGCCGATGCGGAAGTGTTGCATTGTGTCTACTGACCAGCAGGGGGCGACTCCTCTGGTCGCAACAAGAAGTCTGATTGCATAGAAGTCTATGAGAACATGACCCTACTTCTCACTTGATATTTAAACATAACACACAACACATACATGCAATAAAGGGAATATTTTCCTTTATTATAGTGAAACATTTTCAATATTTCATCTTTGAATGCTTGATAGCAGCCCTCGATGTAAAACGCTGAGTGTGTCAATAACCAAGGAGCAGACAGGAAGTGTGTGTGATGGTAACGGAGGTCACCATCACACACACTTATAAAGAGGTTTGGTTTTTATTGCAGCCGTAAAAACAGCGCAGATGGTTTTTAAAGTTCCACCGCAGTCTCAACGCCGGCTTGTAGAGATCTGGAGCTGGAGTTTGGACTGAGATTGTATCTGCTCATGCAAAGCATGAATGTGCAGCACGGCATCATACACACTGTGTGAGCGTGTCCGACAAAGAACGTGTGTGTTTTGTCTCTTTTAGACGCGGCCTGTTAGAACGTGTCCGGCTGGTGTGCCTCCTGACGGTGACAGTTTTCCTGAGGAGGTTTGTGTTGAAGGTTTCTTAGAAAGCGATACATGGAGTAGTCGTTACCTGCAGAACTCGGCTCATCCACTGGAAGCTGTCCTCCTCGGTGGAGTCGGGCCGCTGCTCCGCCACGACCACGATCCTCTCGTCGTGAAGCACCGTGATGGAGAACACCGCTATCCTGAAACACAAACGACGAAAATGCAAATGTATTGTGAAGCTAATATCTCTGTTACTGTACTGAAATAATAATCCCTTTAATTTGTCCAAACACAGAGCAGAGCACATGTAGACCTCTCACCTGCCCCGGTAGACAAACTTCATGGGCTCCACGGCGAGTGCCGTGGCGACGATGTCGTCGGCGTTGTGCTGCCGGCCGCCGACCACCATCAGACCGTCCATCTTCCCCGCCACGAAGATCAGACCCGCAGGACCGATGAACCCCAGCAGGCCGGTCCTGGTGAAGGGAAACTCACTGACGGGAGCCCCGTTGTTGGTCACAGGGAAAACCTTTTGTAAAGAAAACAGTGTGAGGAAACGTTTGTACTCAAAAGAGAAAAGATGAAGTAATGAAGTCCTTCACACACTCACCTCGAAGGTGTTCTTGGTCATGCCGGCCAGGCCGTAGTAGGAGGTTCCCGTGGCCGCCGTACAAACACACAACTCTCCGATCTCGTCGGTTTTACAGAGCTGAGGAACTCCTTCTGGTTTCACCACACACATCATCCCTGCAGACACGCAGCGAGACGGCGTGGTGTTATGAAGGAGAAATGATGAGAACAGCGACTTGTGTAGTATTCAGTATCGAGACGTGTTGCATAAAGTCTCCGGTCTCACCTCCGGGCATCACGGCGCCGACGTCCTGCAGCGTGAGGACGGACAGCTTCTCCTCCGAGTCGACCCGGATCACGCCGTGACTCAGACCCTGCATGGACAACACGCCGCGACCGGGAGGGGTGCTGCCCTCCTCCACAGGCCTGCAGGACGGGGAGGAGACAACTGATCAGAGGACGGGGAGGAGACAACCGATCAGAGGACGGGGAGGAGACAACCGATCAGAGGACGGGGAGGAGACAACCGATCAGAGGACGGGGAGGGCTTTGTGATGAAAACGTTTAGATCCTGAGAGTGACGACATTTATTGGGGAGTGACACTGTTTTTCGAAACATTTTGGAAAGTGGGGACATTTTTAAGAAGTAAATAAAGTTTTGGTAAAGGGAGAACATGTTGGGTAAGGGAAGATATTTTTTAAATTGCAAAAAAAATTTGGGGAAAATATTTTTTTGCAAAGAATATTTTTGGAAAGGGAGAACTTTTTTATTAAAGCGACAGTTCACCCCAAAAACCTATTGATCCTCTCACCTGTACTGCTAGTGAGCAGTTTCATGTCGGAACTATTTTCTTTTCTATGGAACTACACCCGCTAAACGTATCACCACGCAGAAGGAAGTGTGCATCTTCTCAGCTAGCTAGTGCTACAATCAGGCGGTAACCTCCAGTTCTGCCGAGTGAAGCCGATGCTTCATGTGTTAAAGCTGCATTCTCTCTAGTGTCCACCAGGGGGCGACTCCTCTGGTTGTATAGAAGTCTATGAGAAAATGACTCTACTTCTCTCTTGATTTATTACCTCAGTAAACATTGTAAACATGAGTTTATGGTCTCAGTCTCTAGTTTCAAGTCTTCTTCAATACAGCATGATGTTCATTTAGTGCATTATGGTCCATTTAGAGTCACACAGACCATAAAGCAGGGGATGTTTAGGGCGGGGCTACACAGTGATTGACAGGTCTCTCTACCAGAGACGTATACGGCGTCTCTACATCACTCCTCCTCAGTCCAGATATGCTCACTTCCCGTTCATCGGTTGCAAAAAAACCAACATAGATACGGCTGTAATCCAAGATGGCGACGCCAAAATCCCCAAACTCCAGGCTTCATAACATCAGTCCACAAACCAAAGAGTGACGTCATGACGACTACGTCCACTTCTTACATACAGATGATGGTTACAGCTCAGCCGAGGAGGACGTCATTAAGGTTCAGGGTTACGGTTATGCCCGCTTCCTTCTGCGTGGTGATACGGTTGCCGGTTATAGTTCCTACATGAAACCGCTCACATCTAGTCGCACTATACTAGAGAGAAGCAGACATCTCCACGGCAACTCACACCAAAACAATCTGCAGTGATTAATAGAAAACAAAAAAGTGTAGTTTTGAAATTTGGGGGTGAGCTGTCCCTTTAAGCCAAGAATATATAGGTTTTAAGGTTAGAATTAAATTGGGGTTAAAGTTAGAAATAGGAGCTGGGGGCTGTGTGTCAATGAGGGAGTCTAGTTCAGTGTGTGTGTGTGTGTGTGTCTGAATTTATTTTCTTTATGAGGTTTGAAGCAGCTCTTCTGAAAATAAAGTGAGTTCATTACTTTAACACCCGCTGAGGCAAAGTGCCATTTATTAGCCTGTGTGTGGCACAAACACACACAAACTTAAAACGCACACACACACACAAACTTAAAACACACACACACACACAAACTTAAAACACACACACACACATACACACAAGGCTTTTACAGAGTCGTAATTAAGAGCATGAAGCATAAATTGGAAGCCGCCCTGCTTCGACTGTAATGTGGTTTGAACTACAGTGCGGATGATGAAAGAGGTGGAAAGGTTGTAAGTTTAGCGTTTCAAAAACTGTAAAGTCAGGAATTTTAATGGGTTAAATTAAGAGGCATTAAACAATCTAAAAGAAAGCTGCTAATTACTGAGAGTAAAGAAATGTGTGTGTACGTATGTGTGTAACTGAAACATGGAGAGAAGCGATAAGGAGATAAGGCCAGAAGATAAATGATTTTATGAAAAGATATTTTATATTTGATTTCTTTTCTTAATTAGAGGATTCGATGCATTATGATGACAACAGTTATTATATATATATTTATTAAAAGAACACATTGAAAATCCCTACAGTCGAAACACTGATGATTTTTGGTCAAATTTTAATAAAATTTCCAAGCAACTCTTCATGCATTTCTGTGTGTGTCCTATGATGTTTGACATGTGCACAGGGCAATAAAAAGACACATGTATACATGTGTGTGTGTGTGTGTGTGTGTGTGTGTGTGTGTGTGAGAGTGAGTGAGAGAGAGAGAGTACCTCCTTAAAGCTACAGTCAGGGCCTCGGGGGAGCTGGCACAGGGACAGATGACCTCCGGCTTCAACCCTTTGGTCTGGAAGACGTTGAGGAAGGCGTCGCAGGACGAGATCGACCCTGAGAGACAAACGGTTAAAGATTCTCCTAAACATCCAATAAAATGACCATCAAACAAAGCTCACAGTAACAGTAAGAGCTCTATTTAGTAGAGATTTGTCTAAAAAAGCGTCAGTTCCATTTCTAGCTCACCGTATCAAATGTCATCATAATGTCAATAATTACATAAATTCAGCATTACATGAATATTATAAAACAAAAGAGGCGTAACCTCTGTGCTGGCCATTCAATGTTTGGGTTAGTGTATTTCATGGTGCCCAGAGGATGAACCCTCTGTGTTTGAACGTTACCACCTTCACTACAGCACCAACCACAGTCTAGAGAGTGTGTTCATCCTTACAGGGATTCGAACCGTCCGCCACCACCAGCATGCGCAGGGAGCTCAGGTTGACGTCTCGCTGCTCCCGGTGGGCCACCAGAGCCCAGTGCATGTCCCGCGACTTCACACACGCCACCTTGGCTACACACACACACACACACACACACACACACACACACACACTCTAACAGTTTGACTTCTGTTCGACATTTTTCTTCAACATGCGACTGAAGGAATAAATTTAACTTTGAGCCAATGTCTGTAGTTTTCGGTGCTGTTGTATTGGATCACACTGAGATTTTATTTCACAGTCAGTGAAACCGAACACAGTCTGTTTTTCTGCTGGATGAAATATAAAAATACAAAAGGCTGGAAGTCAGATTCTTTACCCGCAGGTTTCAGAGACATCTGGAGGATTGACGGACGTTAAACTGGGACGTTTGCACTGCGTTGGGTGGATTTGTTTACCTTTGTGCTGGGAGACTTTTTGGATCCAGGACAGAGGGTTGACCTTCATGAGGGCGTAGGGAATACTGATGACATGCATCATGTTCATCACGCTCTGACGGAGACAGGGAGGAGGTGACGGAGTGTGAGCGGCGTTTCAACACAACTTAAAGTATGAAGTTAAAGTATAACGATATAATAACTTAGATAGAAACATGGACGGACAGAATACCTGGGACTCACAGTGCATAGCGGTCACTACAGTGATGCAGCTTTTCTAAAGGACCTTTCTTGTGTATGCGGTTCAGTTGCACATTAAACACATATTCCATCCATTGGTTTAATAAATACACATTTTTTTCTGTTAAAAACTCAAACATGTCTTCCTGAGTGGACATGAATAAGTTCAGAATCACCTAAAGAGGAATAAAAACACTTTCTGACTGAAGATGTCATCATTTGTGTTGAAGAGGAAAAGTTGTAAGAAGTTTGGATGACAAAATAAAAAGAAAAAGATTTTCTATGTTTCTAAAAACATAATCATCGACGGTTTAATTGAACTATTTAACATTCATTCATCACTTGAAATGGTTAAACGGTTGTTTTCCTTACAGTCAGGACGGCGTGCCACAGTCCCACGTCCTTCTTGAAGTCTAATACGTTCACTATGGTCTCAGCTGGAGGATGAGAGAGACACATTCAGGGACAAACAACGACACTAGTGTCTGTAAGGTGAAAGGAACTGAAGCGTAAGTGTGTGTGTGTGTGTGTGTGTGTTACCTTCTGTGTACGAGCAGGACTGTGTGAGTCCCTGGCAGTGTGTGAGCATGGCTATCCTCATCACCGTCACACCGAGGACGCTGCCGTCCTTACAGGTCTTATACTGGACACAGAGACTGAGACTGAAGACACGTATCTACCGTCTGAATGCATGTTTCGTTAGTTCTCTCCACAAGACGACAAACAAACAAATTCTAAAATGTAATACGAGGTATCGTAGAGCTCTGGGTGAACACCTACAGACACAATATCTCTTTCCTTCATTTCTGATTCAACGTGCGTGATGACGGGAGGAGCATCTCAACGCTGATAGGCTTACAACACACAGAATATCACGCTAGAGTTGAAATATTTGAGGCAAATTTCGAGTCATTCGCGACTTTGTATGTAATCTCGTCGCGCAAAAATCTTTTCTAGCTTATAAAACAATACAAGTACAAAATAAATCTTAGCTGTAAGTCAACAGCGCGACTGTAAACACACGACGTCATCGTGTTCAATGTTCAAAGAGTCGACGGTAATCGATGAGATTCTTTCCAAAGTAAGAGCTCGCTCATCTGAAAAGTCTGGCACATGTCTGACTAATGTCTACTGCAAAGACAAACAGAAGCTCATTATGGGCTGCTATTAACGTTATGAATCGTGCTGCGACATTAACACAGAAAACAGAAAAGAGCCACAGTAATTTCATCTGTCTCGTCCGTCTGAGACGAAGGAAGCCTCCGTTAAAATACGAACGGTCGATCGTTGTTCAATCATCCCTTTACTTTCATCATTATCCCGTCGGCCTTATTCAATCCCCGGTGCAATCAAGGACACATTTCACCTGCAACAACAGCTTCAAGGTGCGTCGGGAAAATTAAAATCAATCAGACGAAATGACACCTTTGACCATCGGCAAGGAGCAGAAACAGAGAAACATCCACTCAGAGAGACGCACAACCATTGACGTCCACTCACAAGAGAGTAGCGGGTGGATCTACCCGAGTGGACGCGCTGCGTTACCTCGATGTAGGCGGTGTCCTGGTTGGCGTCCTTGATGTGTGGGAACCAGTCTCGGGGAGGTTTGGAGAGGTGTTTGGACTCCGTGACGAACCACTGCACCTTGGGCCAGCCTGGACACACAGGGTCACAAAACAAACGTCCTCATGTCTCCAACGTCCATCAACATCCAGAGGTTGATCTGTTCCTTCCTGGTTCACCTGCTGAACCTCATTTAGACCTAAAGTCACATGAGCCAAAATCCAGTTTCATATTTCCAGAAAGACACGGGCGTCCTTCGGTAAAGATGGACTTTAAATCTACGAATGTCTCCTGAAGTCATTCAGCAGACAGAGGTGTGTTTGGTGCCGGCCGTGACTCCGTATCTTCAGGACGTCACTTAACCAGAGATGTTCTGCTGTATTTCTGTATTATTTGGCTCGTAGAGCGTCGACAGGTTTACCTTCTTCCTCATAAAGACTGAATCACCGTAACGAGGATGCGTTGCTCCGCGCTGAACACGAGTAAAATGCTGAGTGTACGTTAATAATGTCTGAATTAATGCTGCCAGAGACAGAAGAAACAATCAGCCATGTGAATGAGATGAGTTTAAAGCCTGCTGATCAATAAGAGGAGCACTCCCCCTTAATGACACACAGACACACACACACACACACACACACACACTCTGTGTGTGTGTGTGAAGCAGTAAATCTGGCGGCATCATGTTGCTATTTATACTTCCATTACTGAAAAGCAAACATTCGTTATTAATCAGTGGGATTCTCTCTCTCTCTGGTCGGTGCTAATGTCTCTCTATCCTCAATTCATCACGTGTCTCTTTCTCTCTTGTCGGCTGCTTCCTCATCGATCTCACAAACCCGCTTCACCGTCTCTCTCCCTCCCTCTCCCCCTCCCCCCCCCCCCCCCTCTCTCATCCATTACTCAGCCTCGCTGTCTGTTGCAATCAGTCTGTCTTCATCCCAGTGACAGACAGGAGGAGCTGACACCAGATATACTTTCACCTCTGACCACAGTGTGTTTGTCACATGTGCTTCCTGAAAGGATCGACAGTCTCCAGCCACACATCACGAGTAAAAACTGCCCGATTCGATAAAAAAACAACAGTAACTTCGCTGGAAACCCGTGTGAAACCATAAAACCATTACACGCATCATACGAAACATCACACGTGCATCAAATAATTCCAGGTTTCCAAAGGAATTTTAGCAGGAAAAGGGAGCTGATCCTGGGAAGAATGTGCACTAAAACTGGACTCTTGATTCTTGATATTTAACACTAATGCATATAGAGTTGGTGGTTCTTACCGGTATGTGCACAGGTGTGGTGATAGGCTGTGTGTGTGTGTGTGTGTGTGTGTGTGTGTGTGTGTGTGTGTGTGTGAGAGAGACCTTTGAACTGTGGGATCTCTCCGGTGGGGCTCTTGGGTAACCCTTTATGGCAGGCGTCGCTGGTCAGAGCCACCGTCACTCCACAGCTCCCCAACAGAAACCCGATCTGCTGACTGCCGGCGTCCTGGACGGAGACAGAGACGTGAAATGTGATTAATCATCTCAACTGGATTCTGATCAATCAATAAGTGCTGCTTGGTCCTCTCCACACAGCTGTAAAGAGAGAGGTGGGTTAGTTTGGTTTTGTTAAAGATAATGTTCTTGTTGTAATTTAAAGAACAAACCTGTGGACATAAAAACAAGTCGAAACCTTTGGATGAAGCGTTTTTGGTAGCGTACACTCTTAAAATCTGAAAACAGGGCTGGCAACCAGGCATCAGCTTTTGGTTGCCGAAACAGAAAATACGGTTGCCATTTTTTATCCACCACAGATGCCTGTATGCACACAAGTGGAGTATAACCGGAATATTTTGTGGGGGAAACACTTTGTAAGAACGCTTTAATGTCAACAGCAGATAATGCATGAGGTGGCCTTTTGTTGGTGGAAGAAAACGGTGGAGCAACAACTACTTTGGACAAACCAGAAACATTGAAAAGAAATTCCCAAAGCCACACTGCGACCTCCACTGACACACGCACACGCACACACACACACACACACACACACACACACACACACACACACAGCTGTGTGATGGCCAAACCAAACTATGACTCAAACAACAACAGCAGAGACGTTTCTTCAGAGACATTTGGGTCTGATTACACCTCAGCAGAGCTCAGAGTGTCCCCTGCGCTGCACCATGACTCACCACTGATGACTCATGTCTTTAGTAGAGTGATGCGTGAACAAACCCCTCTGTGTTAACTTTCAGCACATAGAGAGGAATGAACGAGTAAAGTTTGGTGTATGCAAGAGCTGCTGAAGTGGAGACCTTTAGTTACATTACAGACATTCAGAAGACTCTCTGTTACTGTTGATTAGATACCAACGACTGATCCGTTCAAACGCTCGTTGACACATACGACTACATTCCTCATCACTCGGTTGACGTTGTGCACCGTGACCGCTTACCTTCCTGGACAGCGGTACTTCTATCGGCACGGGGACGACTTCGGCCAGCAGGCAGCCGTAGAACGCCGTCATGAAGGCAGCGGGGTCGTTGTTTGGGAAGACCAGCGCCACCTACAGGTCAGAGGGAGACAGGGGAGACCACGCCGAGTCAGCATGTGGTCGTTACCGTCGCTGCACAGGAAGCAGTCGGCTGTATCGCTGCTTTTTAAGCATGAAACTGTATTTTAAATGTACAGATGTGTGACGGAGGAAACGTTTGTTCAGGCTTTTGATTCTCATGGTGTCCCGTCTGTAACCAACATGGATTTAGTTGTTCACTGTAAATCTTTCAGAGGGCATCTGGTCAATGTCTTCTCGCCTCATATCTTCCCTTTTTCTATGTAATTGTTTTCTACCTAGTGAGTCCACCTACAGAACCATAAATACACATTTATATGTGCCGCTCCCTCTCCTCTGTTTATCCTCCTCTCTGTCCCGTTAAACTGATGAAACTCTTACACAACAGCAGCAAACACGACAACAAACCTCCGGATGTAAAGAAAAGACAAAAAAGACAATTTACTGTAAAGTCAGCAAAAGTAGTCAGGAAAAAAGGGGGTGCAACATTTAATAAACATCTTTAACATTATCATTTATTGTATATGTATTTCTAAACATTACCACTGTATCTTATCCTACATGCTTATTGTTTTTATGCACAGGAAGCGTTTCCTGCAGCAGGTCCAATAATGCAGCACTTTGTATCCCCGTAGACGCTTTTACAGCTGAAATATTCAAACATGTACGTGAACATGTTTACAACTATAGTGTGGTTCTGATCCATCCGTCCAGACGAGTTATCACACTTCAAACATTGAATAAAAACAGTTACCAGCATCTAAACGTTTGGTTGTCAGAATCAATATTCGGACAGCAACAGGATCACAAGCGTTTCAGAGCAACAGGTGTTTCAGTTTCACTAGTGAGCGTGTTAACTGGTGACTTTCAGCCGAATGCAGGAGGGTCTATAGCCCAGAATCAAACTAACTGAAGAGGGAAAAGTGGAAAACATTCAACACTCAAAGATCAGATTTATTTGACGTTTTCAACCAAAAACATTCTCACATTAAATAAACTTTTGTAAAGTTGATCATGTTCTGTTTTTGTTGACATTATCGTGAGTGGATTCAGCTCTGTGGTCGTTTTTTGTTGGCAGTAACAGAACTGCTCGTTCTGTACATGTCTCTTCATTCCCCCTCGTTGGTGAATCACATCCACCACATGGAAGGTCATCTGAGACGCAGGTTTCTATCTGCCATCTTTCAACCGCCGCGACTCGAACAAAACCACCAGCATCCAACATGTTTCCACAACGTCGTCACTCACAGCAGAGCCTTCATCTCCTGCTCCGCCATGTTGGATCCAGTTTGGCTCCAGTTGCACATTGTGATGATAAGGGTGAACCCCGGCTTAAGTGCTGTTTAATAGCTTCCATGTACAGTAGTGTGTGTGTGTGTGTGTGTGTGTATGAAGCTATAAGCTAAGTGCACCTGAGCGAATGCAAGCGGTGTAATGGTGCTTTAACTGAACTAATGTTGACATGAGCAGCTCTCATTGGAGCCGTTCAGGTTTCATCAGTAGATGATACCAGAGAGAGCCGAATGCTGCAGACATTTAACGACGTCATGATGTATAAACTCTCCACAAAGGGACAGACTGCTGTCGTGGTTTTAGTTTTTTTTTGTTAAATTGATTTTTACCTGTTTTGACCATAAAATGTATGTTTTTCTTGTGGAGCGTTGACAGTAGTTACAAAAGTAACCCTAGCGCTATGATCTTTAGCAAAGCCTACACTTTAATACTGACTGGGGTCTGCCGCTTTAATGTACTGTTGTAAGACTTTTTACTTCTCTGACACATTACAGCAGACTTCTCCCCGTCACCCGTGATACCTTTTATGAATCACTGTGATCAGTATTTTCTATAATGTCCAATATTGTCATGACTGACGAGTACAATGAGCGGACGATAACTTATGCCATTTAAATTGTTGTATGGAGGCCAAACTGCATTCTTCTGGAGGTATATTTTATTAAATGTTTGTCTAATATGTTCCAACAGTTATTTTTGTATGCATTTTTTTAGAATACAATATTTGTATTCAATATAACACAAATGCATGAATAGAGTTATACCTCAAAATAACCAGATAGCAATCTTCTCTAATGGTTTATAATTGTTTTCATGGATTACGTAGAGTTGGAGAAATGTAATATTTCCTGCTTTTGGAACATGATCATGAGCCCCGTATGTATTTCATTAAAACCAATAAAGAATATTCTACTTGACATAAAAATGAAAACAAACCTGCAATAATCTGCCTGAACTTCAAACATATCTCGGTTCTGAGAGTCACATCACATCCACAAACCTCCCCGCGCTCATTTCCCGAAACAGTTTTTCCACATAAAACGACGACCTAACTCGTAAAATAACAGTTTCTGTCATTTCTTAGTGTAATTAAATCTCCTCAGACCTCTAAACACCGTCATCCTGTGAGGTGTGACAAACCCCGTCAAAACAAAACGACAACACTGTAATTTCTCTTCATGCAACTTATTATAAAACTTCAGTAAAACTGTGAAAAACACCAGTTTGTACAGTGATTAAAACACACACCCTTCCGGCTGAGATGCATAAAAACAAATACCCACACACTCTGGCATCGTGCCAGTGTTGACTTAGTCTCCAGCCGAGCGGGAAATGGAGCTTGAAATAAAGATGAAAGAGAGACGAGACACTTGTGGGACTATTACTGAACCTTTTTTCCACTTCAGTGCGATCGTCTGTTCACGTGTTGAGGCGTGTGGTTAAAGAAGCTCTGAGTGTGAAGTGATGATTGTAATGACAATGAAAGGAGGAAAGGACGACACACGTGTCCATTTTTAAAACATTGTGTGTCGGGCCGTCGCATCTTATTTTGGCAGGTACCCAAAAATCTTGAGAGGTGATTTATTTCAGATAATCTTTGATGTTTTAATACTGAAGGAAACCAAAGTGATAGAAAGTCTGATGTCGCCAACTCAAATGAACAAACAGGACCTGTGACCTCCAGTGGTATCGAGCCCTGCAGACTGCCACGATGAGGAAAGGAACTGATGCTGGAACATAAACGTTTGAATAGTTGACGCATCTCATTCAAACCGCTTTCTACCGAAGACATCCGTACTTGTGTAAACTGTAAACACGTGGGTCTGTGGATGATCCAGAATAAACGCCTGAAGCAGGAGCGTCACGAATAAACGACGCGTAAGATGTGAATGACTTGCCGGCGGATAACATATGTCTAGGGCTTTTATTGTGAGAGGTAAGAGCCTTTGTCAAGGTTGTAATAAAGTTTTCCGTCTTGATTCGGACTAAAGAGCCTCTGTGTAGTTGTTTCATAGATATAGATGCACCTCAACCCACATCAAGTGATTTCTTGTGTTATCTGTTGTGTGAAAGTTCAGAAAATTCAAGCTTTTTCACATTTTTTGAGGCTGTATGTTATTAAAGGAAAAGTATTATCAGCTAAATGTAGTAAAAGTATTAAAGGTTTGCACATGTTTTGTGTAAGTAAGTTATATATGTTTTATTTCTTTATATACTTTGTTCTATTTTAATGTTTTTCTCTACTCTGATTTTAAATATTTGAATATATAACTAATACATCCAACTATAGATATGGAATTCACTCTATTGTGATACTCAGAATACTGGAATATGAGTGTGCATGTAAACAGAGTCAGTCTTTGTTTAGTTTTTCCTCTTACCCGGTCTCCAGGTCTGACGAGCGGTTCCTGTTTGCTTCCCAGTTTGTGCAGCAGGTTGAAGGCCAGCTTCACACTCCTGGACCAGAGTTTCCCTGAAGGCAGATTGTGTGAATCATTATTGTGAAAGCACAGAGAGCACAGAGGGAGGCAGCAGAAACTAACCACAGCTTCTCTCCCGCGGACGGGTTAGAAATTACGTCTCTGTTGGACTTAACGACCGCACGGTTGGAACAAAGGATGACATCAAGAGTCCCCCATATGCAAGACATTACGCTGGAAGACACGGCTGCACCTCGCGGGGTGGACGGGTACGGAGACGATCACACAGATTTCATAACCAAACCTTGGCTGTGGAGTAAGTGGATCCATGTACAGCGATACTTTACACACACGGAGACGCAACCACAGCACATCAGAGGGAGTCACAGAGGCCACATCAGTGCATCATTACAGCCAGAAACGGCTTCCTGGTATCTGGACCGATGTCTTCAGTTTTAATTTCAGTGCTCACGCTACTTCAGGCAACATGAACAACATGAACCCGTTACCTCCTTTCAAACAGAAGGAATTATTGTTGCGTTTTTAACTGCTGCTTTATATATAAATATATATAATATTATCTAATCTCTGCGATCAGTTTCATTTTCCCCACCAGGCGTATAGTTGGCTCTGTTCATTAATGCAGTAACTCACAACAATAGAATCAATCACCCCCCCCCCTAACTCAGACTGGCAGACGCAGATATTACGCATGAGCAATCCGCTGTGAATTCCTCTTTGTTTTTCACGCTAAATGAGGTTTTTCTGACGTTTGTCAGAGCTCCTGGATCCCTGGAGGAGAATGAGTTCAGACGGTTAGCAGAGAAAAACAACACAAGCGGCAAAGAGAGGCCGAGCAGCACGGACTCAGCTACAGACGGTCTACAGGTTGAACAAAGTGTCATTTAAAGGAATTAATTCAGGATAATGGTCCACAAAAACTAAACAATCGTGTCTTCCAGGAGCATAAAGTGGATGTTTTACCATTTAGACTTCATTAGAGAGCTCAGAAGGTAATAACAGCCTGACATCTGCCCGGCAACTGCTTACAGGCTTTTGATTGATCGCAGGAGAAATCCTCGCTGATAGACGTGATGACTGTTGAGACCGATCAAAATGATCAAATGAGTCGGTCACTCATCATCTTAAACTGTAGAGCAGATCTACCGTTTCCTTCAAGGATCTGTGCCTGTTGATTTGGTCGTGAAGAGGTTCATCTGTAAAGTTTGGAGGATGTAAGTTAAGCTTAATTAAAGCAGTATTCATGTATTCATTTTTGAGAGTCAAGAAGAATCTGCTGGTCCTCCAGGTTTACGAGTGCATCATGTGACTGGACGAGCTCTTCTTAAACTACAGGAAACAGTTTATAGTTCAAATGTTTTGAACTCTAAACATCAGAACTTGATGTTTTTATCCGCTGTGATTTATCTTGCGACCCCTTTGGACGGGTAACGTGTGAACCACTGCGCTGCAGTAATCATGTAACAGCAGGTGTGACACTGATGAGCATCAGGATGTTTAAAACAACAACATTCAATTGAACTGATATCCATTTATGTGCTGCATGTGTGGAAGCTACTGCAGTGACCGTGAATCCGTTTTGGGATGAGGATGCCCACTTCATCAGTAATAGTGGGAGAACCCTGGAGGTGAGAACCAGCCATCCTCCACACGTTCAACAATCAGAGGAGAGGATTCCTGCTAGACTGTCAGAGAGCATCTCTCCCGCTGAAGAGTCCCAAATCACAGAGCTGCAGATGTAATCAGAGGGTTTCTGTTTTCTTGTTATTTTTAGGATGACATTACTCAACCGACCCATGAGAGGCTCATCCAGCGGCTTTTTATTCCCCGAGACCGAGGCGAGGAGCAGGAAATGGCCCAATCATCTGGTTTGATTTAATTGAAAAGGGCGCTTTTGTTCTGAAATGAGATGTTCGCTGTTTGAGAGCAGCAGCATCTCTCAGGAAATGACTCCAAGAACAGAACGGCTTCCTGCAGGTCTCACACTGAGCCGCGGTTCGACAAAAGGATCTCTGCACTCAGACAATATCTCAGACATGTTATGTGAAGGATTTCAACTGATGCTTTGTTTTTCTTTCAACATGAATGTAGAGCATTTTTACAAATGGGCTGCGGCCTTTTGCTGCATACCTCTCTGGTGGCGGAAGTGACCTGTCAGTCACTGTGTAGCCCCGCCCTAAAGCATCCCCTGCTTCATGGTCTGTTTGACTCTAAATGGACCATAATGTACTAAATGAACATCATGCTGTAGTGAAGAAGACTTGAAACTAGAGATTGAGACCATAAACTCATGTTTACAATGTTTACTGAGGTAATAAATCAAGAGAGAAGTAGAGTCATTTTCTCATAGACTTCTATACAACCAGAGGAGTCGCCCCCTGGTGGACACTAGAGAGAATGCAGCTTTAACACATGAAGTGGAGCATTGCGACTCTTATATGATGTCAAATATCCGGTATATTGACAATAGTTTGTAAGTAAAGCCGATCCTGGAAAGTTTATAGAGGGTGACGGAGGTCTTTCCAAGTTGAAAACAGGATTTGTAGTTTATAGAAAACACAAGAAAGCACACAAGAGACAATCAAAGAAAGAGATCAAAACCCAACACGCAGAACTTGAAAGCTTCATGCTGCGTATGGAAATCAGAGCGTCTCTATCGATTACGTGATCTGTTCCCACTGCGTATGGAAATCAGAGCGTCTCTATCGATTACGTGATCTGTTCCCACGTGGATCAAAGCTCCCCGAGACGCTCGCCTGAAAGCTTCTTTTTTTTCCCGAAACACTTTCTCTCCTGCAAATTACGGTTGTGCGGTTGTCTGCAGTGCAGCGTGTCGAGGGTTGAGTTTAAGGACAGCGGGAGAATTAGGTATCATGAATTCTCTCTGTTCTCCGGAGGACGACTCGACAGGAAGAAAACAAAACAAGTTTGTCCTTGTCGGCCCGACATCAAAGGAAAAAGACACCGCAGGAATCAAAGATAAAGGAAGATCGAGATTTAGATTCAGCACTGCACACACACACACACACACACACACACACACGCTGTCTCACCATGTCGTTGTGTCTCTGGTGACGGACTCCGGCTGAAGACATTTCACAGTCTGGTGAGCTCACATCGCCTCATCATCAGCTGCAAGCTCACTCAAAACACACACACACACACACACACACACACACACACACACTACGCCTGTTGGAAGAGCTAGCTTTAGGGACAAAGCTGAGTTTGAGTGTGTGTGTGTGTGTTCATGTGTGGTACAAACAGAGGTTGGGGAAGTACTGTACTTCAGATACGACACTAGTTTTATGTAATTTTCTGCGTTTCAGAAGGAACTCTTGTACTTTTTTTCTTCACACAGCTACAAGCTACAATTACATTTAATTTTCACACGTTTCAGTAATGAAAACTAATTTATTCACATTCATCTTTATATCGACGATCCTTTGTGAAAAGGTGAAGCGGCCACCGTTTCTGATTTGCATGTAAACTGTTTTAAAGAAACTTTAAATTCAACATGAGATAAGTAGTTCTTCTTCTTCTTCTTCTTCTTCAACATCAAAATCTTAAAAACTGTCACAGAAAACAACAAATTAAGAACTCTACTCCTCTTGTGTGAAATAATTACTGCCTCACGGTCACGGTGCGGTTCACATCCACGTCCGTCCAAAATATCTCCACTTCATCATTTTATACTATCAGACCTTTGTGTGAACTTGTCATAATTAGCATATCAATTGTTGAGTTATGGCCAAAAAATGTGTTTTGTGAGGTCACAGTGACTTCTGACCACCTTGGACGTTCACTCAAAGCGTTTCTGAGAAATCACGAGATCGACTCCTCAAAACCTCCACAGCTCAACCGATCAACGTATCCTCAAACAACGGGGAGTAAGATGTACGTTTTCCTAATTTTTTGTGACTTTTCCTACAAAAGTCCAGAAACTCTGTCTGTCAATTTCCGCTCGTACTACTACGGTATTTTCAAAATAAACTTCTGTCTTCAAAGAAAACAACTTAGTTAGGTTTAGGCAACAAAACGACTTAGTAGGTTTAAGAAAATATCGTGTTTGGGTTAAAAAAACTACAGAAATGCTGTTACATAAGTACGGAAGTTACGTGACAAATAACTCAAGTAAATACTTTTACTTTGAAGTATTTTTCGTTTAATTTAAAAGATGCGACTACGTCTTTAAACCCCGAATCTGAGAATGTGAGTTCATGTGGGTTAATACGTGTTCACTGTGCCTGTGTGTGTGTGTGTGTGTGTGTGTTGTTTGGTGTCACTTCATTCTCTCCGCTGTGCAGCGAGGAGGTCCGACTCTAAAGGACCTGAGAGAAGAAAGCTCGGCTCACTGCGGCTTAATCTCTCGCCACCCTCCGGACCCGAAGCCATTTCCTCCGCCGCCGTTTGGGGAGATGAATAAGTCGGATCGGCAGCTGCTGAACTAAAGAATTTGTTTATAGACTTAAACCGTGAAGCATGGGGGGTTTTAGGACATGAGGAGACTGAAACCTACGTATTTCTTATTACTTTTCACCAGCTGAGTGTTTGCTTTCTCCACATTTACTTTGTTTTCTGTGCTCCGTGTCGTTCCTTCTGCTGTAGGAATTTAAGTTCAGTGTCAGATTTCACCTGCTGATAGCAGACACCACAGCACCAGATGTCTGTGTCTTTAACAATATAAAGAACCACGATTGTTGTGTTGTGTTTTACATTTGCTCGCAGCAGAAGGTTTGTAAATGGATTTGTTAGAGCACCAGATTCGTCTGATGTTCCTGAAAAAGTAAAACATGACTTCCCTTTCTTGAACTGTTTTTATTTATGTTCTTCAGTGGCGTCAGAAACTTGGTCCACTTGGTTCCTCATAACCGAGCCCCGACCCTGGCGCCCCGAGTCGGGCTGGGTTGAAATTACATCCGGCCTAATCTGGTCGGGTCCGGGACCCCAAATCTCCCAAAGTGTGCGTCTCTTTACTACCTGTGAGGTGCAGCAGAAAACGATAAATATTACTACATTCTGTATCAGGTGTCATTACCCTCGGATCTGAAATGAGTTCAGAGATTAAACAAACCGCTCCAAACACAAAAGCTTCTGAAGATATTGTCCACGTTATTGTAGTCAAAAATCTGGACATTTGGGATTAAAAAACCAAACAAACTTTCCCTCCTCCTTCAGCAGAGCAGCTTCTTGAAAGCGTCTACTTCACACGTTGCTAATGTGTTTAGCGCTCTGTCTGGCTGCCATTAGCGGAGTTATGCTCACACAGCGGGTGTTACACATTGTTTGGTGCTTCAGTTAATCAGCCACCGTATGTGCCGGAAACAAAACAATTTTGGAGAAGAAGCCCCGCTGTGTTCATCTACCACTACGATGACTGATCTGAGGTCAGGTGGGCTCTCAGAGATGCATGTTTACGTGTGAAAGAAATCATTTTTCATGATGTGGAAGCATTTATTACTGGTTTTCAAAATGTTGGTCATGGATCCCAATGAGCAGATACAATTCACTCACGTTATTACTTAAAGCCGTTATTGGTCAGATTTGTCATCTTGTTTACTTAATAGTTTAAAGGTTTTCTGATCAGAGAATTCCTCATTTCAATCAAAATTTTGGCAATTCTATTCAGAAAACGTTCTTGACCGGCTGCTGGTGTTTAAGCATCGAAAAAATACTACTTCAGTTGCCACTGGAATCCCAAAATGTGGCATTATGTAGTATGATCAGAGTCAGGGAGTTCACAATGTTAAACTATAATTCGTGCTTTGCGGTTCTTTGCCTCTGTAGTCCAACATGTCATCACTTTCATCATTTTATCTTTTTAGATATTTGTGTGAAATTGTCATAATTAGCAAACAAATTCTTGAGAAGAAAATCGTTTTCTGTGAGTTCATAGTGACCGTAAACCACCAAAATCCAATCAGCTCATCCTTGAGTTGAGTTGAGTTTGTGCCAAATTTGAAGAGAAATTCCCTCCAGAGAAATCTCATTTAGGTGAAGGAACCGGACAGACGGAGAACCCGTAAACAATGATGCCTCTGGCCACAACTTTCGACGGCACGGAGACATAAAAAGGGAACCGCAAAGTAACTTATGTCACAAGAAAAGCCCAAAGCCGGAGAAGACAAATGAAGGCGTTTATATAAGTGTTTTGTCTTCTTTCCGATAAAGTGTCTCCCCCCCGACTCGATCAGAGAGAAGCGAGGCTTTAATTACCGTAGGTGAGCACGTAGAGCGGCTTGCCGTTGGTGTCCATGGTGGTGAGGCAGGGGGCCTTCGGAGAGATGGTGCCCCACCTCTGCAGGGCCGCCTCCAGAGACGGGGGCCAGTTGGTCACCACGCCCAGCTGCTCGCCCCGCGAGGCCACCATCTGAGCTCCCTCCGCCTTGGGCTGGTTGGGGTCTGGCTGCTGGACTGGAGGAGGACGACAGAAAAACAGAGTGAGAGGCTCGAAATGTTTACCGGCTTCACTTTCGCTGTCGATACAACAACCAGAAGCAGCAGCATGATTATCATCAGCCTTCCACCCTAACCTACACCCAGCGGTGCAAAGTAACTAAGTACATTAACTCAAGTACTGTACTTAAGAGGTACTTGTACTCTACTTGTGTTTCCATGTTGTGATACTTTATACTTCATCTACTTCACTACATTTCAAGGGCAAATGTACTTTTTACTCCACTACTTGTATTTGACAACTTAAGATACTTTGTAGATACAGATTAATAATACAAAATTAAATATATATTACAGGTTTAGATTAAATTTAATTGACCCCCAGCGAGATATTCACAAGCTACCTGGCAGTATAAAGTAGTTCAAATAAGCCCCATGTGATGAAAGCATTAATGCATCAATAATTCTAATCCAGTAACATAATATATCTGAAACGGGCCATTCGGCATTATGAGCACTTTTATTTTTGGTACTTTTAAGTATATTTTGATGCCAATACTTTTGTACTTTTGGCTTGAACATGTGACTTTTACTTTAACGTAGTATTTCTAAACTGTATTATTGCGTGAGTATTTCTTCCACCCCTGCCTGCAGCAGCCCAACAATCAATAATTGATCACCAACAGAACCAGGTTATACAGTATGAGACGGTGCTTCAGACCTCGTGTGGAACACTGTTATCTAAATAAAGGGTGTGAAGCTGTTACCTTCCAGAAGCTCCTCAAAGTCGTCGACAAAAAACTCCCTCAGCGGTGGCCGTTTGGGTCTCTTCAGAGTGTTGACGAGTTGCTGTATTTTGGCTGAAACTCTGCTGCTGACTGGAACACCTGCACATGGCGAACACACACACACACACACACACACACACACACACACACACACACACA